AAAAATTTTCAGCTGCTCACACCCAAAAAAGTAAGATACAGCTTTACATTAATTTCAGCCAAAATGCATTGGGCCTCATTCACCAACTGCTACGAAGAAATTTAAGCAGTTTTCATTAAGATTCTGACATTCACCAATGTTTTCCTATGTGGGATTTGTTCTTAGGTAATCTTCACACACTCAAGAGCACAAAGGTGAGAACAGTTCTGCACTTTTAGAACACCTCGTGAATCTGACGTAGATTTTTTCTTAGGACCTTTCTCAAGAACAAATTTAAGAAAAAACCTAGGAAGATATTGGATAGTGAGGCCCAATGTTTCCCTTTGGTTAACCAGATATCTGTTCATTAACACTTACAGATAAATGGATATCAAAATCAATTGAAATGTGCATCCCTACTCTGGAACCAAAACTGTGTTCTTATGTAGTTATGTAGTTATATGTAGTTATATGTAGCATTATATGTAGCGTTTTTACAAGCAAAAACACACAGTAATATCACCATTGAGACAAATAGTCTTAAACAGTTTGTTCAGCTGCCTAAGACTTTTGCACAATGCTATACTTTCGTGCACACCTGCACTGCAATATGAACCTACATACATGTACAAAGTACACACATACATACATTATCATGTCATACATATACATGTGATATGTATATTGGGTGAAATATCACAGTCCTTTTATACAAACCGCTCCCATTCCAGGGGAACATAAAAGAAGTAGTTGGACAACTTAACATATTCACAACACTTGGTTGCAAGATATATATATATATATATATATATATATATATATATGTATGTATATGTAGCACAGTGGAACTGCATTCTCTGGAGTGATGGAGCTCCGTCTAGTATCTTTGGGATGGTTTGTGATCCAGAACTAATCATCTAACATCAGTACCAATGAATGCAATCAAATCCTCACAGCAATGTCCCAACGTCTAGTTTTACTAGTGTGAAAACTTTTCAGAAGAGCAGAGGCTCTTAACCTTGATTTCATGAGAAACGTTGGGTTAAGTTGAGTGCTTTGGGTGTGTGCTCAGGTTGTTGTCTCATTCATAGTGAAGCACCCTTTAGCTTTTTTAATGTTAGCATTCATTTAGAATTAATTTAGAAATTCTGCTGCTGTTCTTGTGATACCGCTGTACATCTCTGCAAATGCAGTCAAGAAGGTTGTATCGGCATGTGTGTGTGTGTGTGTGTGTGTGGTACACTGGGAGGAGACGTCACTGTAGGTGAGTGATGAGGACAGGGAGAGGGATCAATACAAGGAGATTCCTGTTGGGAGAATCAGGGAGATATCGACTGAGAGCATGCTGAGTACAGAGAGCTGTTCAGAGTGTGTACTGAACACAAACACTCTCCCATAACACATATACTTCTACATGTTCTTTTATTTATTGTAGGTGTTACATACTGGTAAATTTGTAAGGCTGTGCAATTCCTGATTGCATTTTTCTTAGAACTGAATCATGATTCTTTGACACACCAGTTTTGTAAAGAATGATATGTATATTTATTATTTTTTTTAATTTTACATACCTTGTGGTGTGTGCATAACAGCAGTTTAGAGATCAAATATAAACAAAGTTCTAAAAAGTATAAATAAATTGCTTTCTAAATAACCTCATGGAACAGGCTAGTAACTCACTCTTTAGCAGGCAGAAGATTTTCCATAAGGGGGAGCTTTTGTGTGCATCATTGAAAGGGAGGAAACTGACACAAACTCAGACCAGCAGGATCTCATGAATACACTTGAGGTTGTGTCACAGTGAGTAAGGGAAATAGGGGGGTGCTCAGTTGTATGCACTGATCGTTTAAGTACAGATTCAGAGCTGTTCTTTGGAGTCTATTTTGCCATTAGATGTCCTGCTTGTATCTTTCCACAAAAACATTTTAGATGAAAGCTTCATTGCAGAACTATTATGAACAATGACTCAGGAATTAGGCCATATAGTTGTAAACATGTTGTGTAATAAGTTCCTTTGGAGGCCTTAAACACTTCAGACATCTGGTTCCTGTCACCACTTTAAACAGTTCTGACTTAGTAAGTGTCTCTACAATGGCACATTTCACATCAAACCCCACTGAATTATGTTTTTGATGATGTAATTATGCAGAAATTTTGATAAGTGGAATTTTCCTTATTTCCTTATTTCCTTTTTTGTTGCTGCTTCATGAAGTACTTCTAAAAAGCTTATGAAACCCTGGTAGAAACTCACAGTTAGTTCAGAATGTATTTGTGTGTGTGTGTGTGTGTGTGTGTGTGTGTGTGTGTGTGTGTATGAATATGTAGACTGGGACACTGGGTCTTCTGCCACCACACAGCAGAGTGTGTATAATTGCATGGCCAAACCGGAGGGTCATGCTCTACACGCTACATTGAGCATCAGTGTGCAAAGCTGTCTAATTATTCGTCTCATCAGACCTTCACACAGTGAATTGCTGTAATCCAGAACTCTAATCCCTCCGCCATGCCCCCCTCTACACAACACCGCATGCACCACACACACTCACCACTTAGTGTGGCTGAGCACACGGTGGCAATTTCATGCCTTACACACACACACACACACACACAGCTGGACGTTCTGATTTACGGGTCTCTTATAACACTAGTCTAGGTGGGGGGGCATAGTATTAGCACGTCAGTGTCAAGCACTAGTGGGTCATTTATGACAGTAAAGGGCTTGAAGGCTGAGGTCAGCAGAAAGTGAGGGTCTTTACTCGTTATGAGGTCAACTGCAATGGGCAGGTCAGACACGTTCTCAGAGGCTGCAGACTCAGCTAGTTAGTAGACAGACAGATAGATAGATAGATACATAGATAGATAGATAGATAGATAGATAGATAGATAGATCCATGAAGGTGTTCTGTGAAGGGTGCAGTCTGACTTTTGTACAGAGCTATGTTTACGCAAAAAATATCAGATATCAGCGCTGGCCCACAATTCAGTTTCCAGACTGATGGTGTGTGTTTTGCTGGTGAACAGGTTGAGGTGTGCTCTCAGCCTGCTGTAGCTCTCCGTGGTGCTGTTCACTGCTCTGCAGCGGAGCTGTCTGTGGTGCTGAATTGGCAGCTTCTGCTGACGAAGGTGTGCCGTCACCTGCTGCACGTATATCTGTCTACAAGAACACACACCCCCCACCCCACAGCCCACCCACACAGCAGAAACCAGAGTCCATTAGATTAATAACACAAGCACAGTCTACATGACTGACTGATGACATTAGAACCAGTGTGTGTGTATGTGTGTGTGTGTAAGAGAGAAGAAGGACATAACATTTAGAACTTGATTTAATTTTTTGATGATACAATTACTGCTCAAAATAGAAATCAATAAATGTGCGAAGGGCACTGCCAAAGGCACACCAGGCTGTGGATGTGTGTGTGTGTGTGTGTATGTGTGTGTGAGTGTGTGTGTGTATGTTGGTGTGTTTAATCATGTCAGAGTTGTGAAATGTCATGAATGGCCAGACAGTGTGTGGTCTGTCAAAAACACTCACATCTGTGATGTTCACCCTTAAGGAGAGAGAGAGAGAGAGAAAGAATGAAAGAGAGACATGAGAGAGAGAGAGAAAGAGATATGAACAAGAAAAAGAATGAGAGAAAGAGGGGAGAAAAAGAAAGAGGGGGAGACAAACATGAGAGAGAAAGATAGAGATATATGAGAGGGAAGCAGAAGGAGAGAAACAGAAGAAGGAGATCTATGAGAGAGAGAGAGAGAGAGAGAGAGAGAGAAAGTGAAAGACTGAGAGGAAAGAGATAGATATGAGAGCAGGGAGGGAGGGAAAAAGACAGAAAGAGAGAGAGAGAGAGAGAAAAAAAGAGAGAAAAGAGAGAGAGAGAGAGAGAGAGTTGACCGAGAGAGGTCAGTGGTTTCTGGATGTCTTAACCTCATGTAGTTTGTGTCTGACATGAATGACCGCCTCAGGTTTCACTGCTTTTAATTTTTTTTTTTTTTAAATCAAAGATCTTCTAAGGTCACACGCAGCAAAGTGAGCTTACTTTCTTCAGAAGTTTCCTTATGTGGGGAAGCTTGTATGATTTTCCTCTAACAGAGAGAGACGAAGGTATGGGGCTGGTGTTTTAAAAAAGAGGGAAATAGAGAGACAGATGCTGACATACTGATGAGGGGGAGAGAAAAGGAGATGGTGAGATGAGTGGAGATGTGACAGGACGATGGCAGGTAAATGATGGAGGGATGAATCTGTTGGGACATGGATGAGAACACAGGAAAAAAAGGATCTGAGACCTTTTGAAATCTCAAGACCTGGAGCTTCTTAGAACATTTCATCACTTGAGTGCTATAAAGGAATCAGCAGTGTTGGTTATAATTTGTATTAAACAAGGATGCAGACATTTCAACGTCATACATTAGCTCTGCTGTTGTGGCTCCAATAGTGGACTGGCAACATTTGCGGCTAAGTTGTTTAAACAAATGAACTATGATAATAATATAATTCCTTTATTTCAAAAATGTATTTTAATGTTTTGTGTAATTTGAAAGCACCACAGGCTCTGCACATTGTTTGAATATTTCATGATGAATGGACCAATAGAAATGATCCACGATTACTTAGAACAAATATCCTTATTAGGCATTAAAGTCATGAACTTTTTTCTCTAAGTTATCCTTTCAGAGATTTTACAAAATGAACAATGAAAAAAAGACACTTCAAATGGTCACTTTATGGTAATTACTTTATCAAATAATCCACTTAATTGAGCTGTAAAATGAAATAATAAAGCAGTAAATAAATGCAAAGTGCTTATGGATGTCTTACCCTGAGTTTGCAGACTAATTTGCACAAATCTTCTCTCGCTATTGTTTTCTAGCCTGATGTCCCTGAAAGTGTTTTAGTTTGGGGCGGACTGTGCCCCAGTTTCTGGCACTTCAAAAAAAATTGAAATATAGTGCCTGTGTTTAAAGTATTTCCTTCCCTCTCTCTTTCTCCTTCTGTTTCTATCACCCTCCCTCTTCTTTTATAGGTACAACGCACAAAGAGGATTTTCTCAGCCACTGTGGAAAACTGACCTTTCTCAACCATGCATCACTCCCTTCAAAGCAACTATTTCTTCCCCCCTCTCCTCCTTCTTATCTTTCTCTGTATCCCCTCCAATGCCAGCTCCCCTGACCTAGCCTACTCCAATGCCAATTGTTCCCAAGGCGACGTCTGCTCCGAGGGTGTGATCTTACCCGTCTGGAACCCCCAGAACCCATCGGTGGGTGATAAGGTGGCTCGTGCCATCGTCTACTTTGTGGCACTGGTCTACATGTTCCTGGGCATGTCGATCATTGCGGACCGATTCATGTCTTCCATTGAGGTCATCACCTCGCAAGAGAAGGAGATTACCATCAAGAGGCCCAACGGTGAGACCACCACAGCAACTGTGCGCATCTGGAACGAGACTGTTTCTAACCTGACCTTGATGGCTTTGGGTTCTTCAGCTCCGGAGATTCTGCTGTCAGTCATCGAGGTTTGTGGGCACCAGTTTAAAGCTGGAGACTTGGGCCCCAGCACCATCGTTGGCAGCGCTGCCTTCAACATGTTCGTCATCATTGGAATCTGCGTCTACGTTGTACCTGACGGCGAGACCCGGAAAGTCAAGCACCTCAGAGTCTTCTTTGTGACCGCAGCATGGAGTGTCTTCGCCTACGTTTGGCTCTACATAATCCTCTGTGTGTCATCCCCCAGTGAAGTCGAGGTTTGGGAGGCCGTTCTCACCTTCCTCTTCTTCCCCATCTGTGTGGTGCAGGCGTGGGTGGCCGACCGTCGCCTGCTCTTCTACAAGTATGTCCGCAAGCACTACCGCGCGGACAAGAGCCATGGCATTGTGGTAGAGACGGAAGGAGGTGAAGAGATGGTGAAGGAGACAGGTTTCACAAAAATGGACATGCTAGAGCTGGACGGTATGGCAGCCCACCTTGACGGCATGCTGGGAGGAGAGGATGGATTGGGAGGGCGCGATCAGGAGGAGGAGGCCAGGAGGGATATGGCTAGGACACTGAAGGAGCTCAAGCAAAGACACCCGGACAAAGACATGGAGCAGCTCATCGAGATGGCCAACTATCAGGTATGGCTGATCTCAGATCAGTGGCTCTGGGTTTAATAGTCTTTTGGTGAGCATGAAGTAACATTCCAACAGCAGGTAGGAACAATGGAGAACATGTAAAGATCTGCACAGTTTCATAAATAAACCACAGGAAAAACTCTGGTGGAATTGTTTCAAATTTATACAGTCTCTTCACCCCAAATATAGTTGATCAGCCAAGACACATTTGGTGTCCAAAGTCTGCCTTTGCCTAGTTTTTGCACTAGAGCTGAAAAAAACTAATAGAAATAACAAAAGTATGTTACCACATACCACAATATCACTCACAAGCTTTGTGATATTTAGCCATACAGTGTCCACACCACCAATTAGTGAGAGATAAGCTTCTGTAACTTGTTATCTACATTGGCCTCATAGCTGAGGACTAACTTAAGAGGACACTCTTGGCATAATGAAATGTTTACCCTTTGCCACATCCATTGTAAACATGCTTGCTTGCATACTACATTGATGCCATAGTATTCTCTAGAGTGAGATTTTCCAGTTAAGGTCTAAAAAAACCCTTTCTAATGACCCAGGTAAATACAGGTAAATAACCAAATTTCAGAACCATAAAAAAGCAAACAAAAGATGTCTAGTAAACAAGCAAAAGGCTTGGCTAAGGTTAAGCTGAGCTAAAAACAAAGTCCAACAATATACCAAGGCAAAGGACAGGTAGTAGGGCAGTGCTAAGCTAACAGCTAGGCTAATGGCTAAGTTAAACTTTAAGCTAATGGCAAAACAGATAACAGCTACAGATTAGGCAGAATAACAGGCTTCTGTCGAATCTATAAGGCTAAGGGATATAATGCTGAACTACCGAATATGGTTTTAAATGACAAATAACATATTAACCTCTAGTTTTAGGTTGCAGTGCCTTAAAAAGCAACCTTTGGATGCAAAACATGTCTTGGCTATTTAGCTACATTTTGGGTAAGGGGAAAATTGTGAAAATTTGATTTTTCATCAAGCTACTCCTTTAACTGCTGGTACAAAATGACTCTACATAACACAGTATCCAATTTCTGGGGAAAGAAATGCCATAGTAAGAAGCTTTGTCCTCCCTTTACATAAAATAACAGCATGATGTTCCTGTCATTCTCACTGTGCACAAAATTAGCAGTAGGATTATAAACGATCATAACCCAGTGTCCAACGCCTACCGAAACAGTGTGTTCTCTTGGTGGTCCCCTCAGGTGCTGGTGCAGCAGCAGAAGAGCCGAGCATTTTATCGTATCCAGGCCACCAGGATGATGATTGGTGCAGGGAACATCCTGAAGAAGCATGCAGCAGATCAGGCCCGGAAGGTGGTGAGCAGTGGAGAGACTCGGGAGCAGGAGGACGACCCCTACACCACACGGCTGGAGTTTGAGCCAGCGCTCTACCAGTGCTTCGAGAACTGTGGCTCCTTGAAGCTCACTGTGGGGCGACATGGAGGGGACGCAGGGTGTACCGTCAAGGTAGCTACTGCATAACTGTGTGACTGAATGATACTTTTAATTGATTGATTTTTATGGTACTGATCAAAGACGTGCACTGGAAAAAAATCACACATAGGCATTTACTTCACTATTTACTTATATACTTGTCTTAGAAACACAATTCAAACATTTGAATATAAATAATATATAAATAAAGAATTCAGACCAAAATGTTTTCAGAATTATGGAAAACATATGTTACATACCTTTTGCGAGTTCTGATCATACTCCCAGCAGATGGTTGTAGTAAAAGAAGAGATTGTATGACTGTAGAGAACTCTTAGAACTTGGATGGGAGTTCTAGGCAGCTTCTGCTATATGCTAAGGCTTCACTGTCCTTGAAAAACAGAGGTCGAAGTGAAGAACTAGGAGGAGATGGGGAGGTGGGGTGTGAAAACTTCATCAAAGGAGCAGAAACTAGAGATGGAAATTTATATGAAAACATGCTTGCTTGCATACTACAGTGATGCAAGCAGTAAACTCACTACTATAGAGAAGAAGCTCCAGTAGTGAGCTTATTAGTTATTGTTATTAGTTATTTCATTGCACTATTAAATCTTGTGTCCAAACTAGTCCATTTTTTGACTAGTACTGTACATATTAAGAATAGATAAGATCCCTCAGTTTGTCATGTGACTTCGTCAACCAATCATCAGTCAACCAGCAGATCCAGGTCACCTGAATACTGATTGTCATCACCTGTATAACTGCATATAAGCCTGTCTGTTTCATTGTTTTGTTGTCAAGTATTGCTCCTGTTCCATCAGCGCATACTGAGCTGGTGTCCTGTTTGACGCTTGTACTGTTTATCACCTTGCTTTGTTTCTCTTTGTAGTTTTTTGGATTCTCCCCTGCTGGCTTTGTTAACCTATTTGTTAGATCTTTTGGTTTCTACCCTCGCTTGTTTAATGACTACGGTTTTGCCTGTTCCCATGTGTTGTGTTTTGCTTTACTGGTTTTTGATCTGGTCCAGTGTTAACCCTGTTTTTCATGTCAATCTTTTTTTCAGTAAACCTCCTGATTTATTTTATATCCCCAAGTGTCTGATTCGCCAGCCCAGCGTTACAGCAGCAGGGATCGTTTATTTTTTCAGAAGAATGCAGTCTGTCTTGGTCTGTTACAATGCTGAGAAAAAAGTATTTTCCCCCTCATGATTTCTTCTCTTTTTGCATATCCGTCACACTTAATTGTTTCATATCTTCAATTAAAATATAATATAAGACAGCATGAGGAGACACAAAATACAGTTTTTATATGATCATTTCATTTATTGAAGAAAAAAAGATCTAACACCAGCTGTGGCTGTTTGAAAAAGTAATAAGCCTCCTTGGTTACTCAATCGACCAGTTAACCAAATTTACTTGATCATTAAGATCAATCATTAAACAAGACACGTGAAGTCTTGATTACTGCCAGCCCTGTTGAATCTAAACATCACTTAAATAGAACATCACTTAGAAATAGAACAATAGAATTTCCAGCAATGTGAAGGAGGCTAAAAGGCCTCGACAGGTAGCACTCTATGCCTTGACCAGAAGAAATTCCGGAAGAGATGAGAAAGAAAGTTATTGAAAAATATTTTATATATTAAAACATTATCATTCAAAAACTGTGTTTCGTGTTTCCTCATATTCTCCTTGTCCTGTATTACATTTTATATGATAATCTGGTGCCATTTAGTGTGACAAATATGCAAATATAGAGGAAAGCCAGAGGAGGCAAATAGTTTTTCACAGCACTATATGCTTATGGCAGGAACATCTCCCTCTCTTAACCTCTAACCTGTGATTTTCCCAGGTTGACTACCGTACTGAAGATGGCACTGCCAACGCTGGCTCCGATTATGAGTTTGCTGAAGGCACTCTGGTCTTCAAGCCTGGAGAGACGCTGAAAGAGCTGACTGTGGGCATCATCGACGACGACATATTTGAGGAGGACGAGTACTTCTACGTCCACCTTAGCAATCCACGAATTGTGGGCTGGGCCGATGGACATCCAGTTGCCTTGGATACCGGAGCCCCGACTCCTAAGGCAGCGCTGGGGGAGGCTCACACAGCCACAGTGACCATCTATGATGATGACCACGCAGGCATCTTCACGTTTGAGAGCGAGTCTACGCGGGTCAGTGAAAGTGTGGGCATAATGCAGGTGAAAGTCCAGAGGACATCCGGTGCACGAGGCCTGGTGGCCGTACCCTACAGGACCATTGACGGGACAGCCCGCGGTGGCGAGGACTACGAAGAAGTTTCAGGAAAACTGGAGTTCCAAAATGATGAGACCATGTGAGTAGAGAGCTGTTTAAATATTAAGGTCTGTGTTTTTTGTGTACACTCAAAATAGGTTCTATGACTCAAGCAGAACCTGTAAAGGTGCAATGTAGGACCATTGTTTAAAAGGTTCTTTAAAGAGACTATATACTACAGGTTCTCCAGCGAGAGCCTGATGAAAGACATGAGGATGATCATCTAATAGAATAATTGTTTCAGTCTTATTTAAGGTGTTTCTCTGAAATAGTTCTAGAAGACACTTGCTGGCATCCCATAAGCTGCTCACAGGTTTTAAAAAGGAACGGTTTTGTTAAAAAAATCAAAACAACAGTCAAAATGACACCTTTTTCTGAACGACAAAGAACCATTTAAGCATTCAAATGGTTCTTTGAGTTCTCAAGATTATATATATATTATATATATATATATATATATATATATATATATAATATATATATATATATATATGTTCATTGGAAAAATAAAGTTACGTACATTATTTCTGTTCTAATACTTGGTGATGTGTTCATTGCCTTCATAACAGAACCATTTAGGTAAGTATTACACCAGTCTGTAGAGTTCCTGTCCATTCTAGCCCACACTTACATGAACTGGTTGCACATGTCAGCGTTTAGCCTGTTGTTCCAAGTTGAGAAGAACGATTGAGGTCTGGCGGTTCTGCTGATTAGTCAGACTATCACAGTGTTTCATCATGTCTGTTGAGCCAGTCACATACAGACACCCTACAGTTGTCATCCTGGAGTGTGGGAGTGTCAGTGTTGTGTTTAGCTTGGCACAAAGTCAGTGGAAGAGTGGTCAGGAACTGGACAGGAAATTGACAGAGCCTACTACTTACCTGACAGGACCGGAACTGTAATTAAGGCGACTGGATTCTTAACCAGGTATTAGAGAAGAAATGATGCATGAGACACATTTCTTGTCCAGGGAGCTTATATTTTATATGTCCATTGTCTGTCCTGAAGAGCCTATTTTTAAAGAACATGTTGTTCACTTTCTACTATAATTGTCATATTGTACACTTTAACTATAATAATAATACTAATATACATTCTTCACTGAGGAGATCTTTGCTACTAATCTTTGGGACCAGCTGTTGTTGGTTGGTGTGCGTGTTTGTGTGTGTGTGTGTGTTTGTTTTTGTTTGTTTGTGTGGTTGGTTTTTTCAAGCATCTGTCAGAATTGTTTTTAAGCCGAGGCACTGTGGTGAAAGGGTTTTAGCTATTTTTAGAATTTTGTATGTTCTTGAGAGGCTGTGTGTGTGTGTGTGTGTGTGTGTGTGTGTGTGTGTGTGTGTGTGTGTGCACGAGTGATGCTTGTTCTCATTTGAAGGTGTAGAAGTTTTCCAGATGAGCAGCAGCAGACACTGAAGGCTATAGGTGTAAGAGGTGTAAGCAGCAGTGAAGGTGTGTGTGTGCCTGTGTGTGCGTGTGGGTGTGTGTGAGAGAGAGAGATAGCGAGATTTAAAAATCAGTGTGAGTCTGTGTATGCATGTAATAGGTCAAAGCAGGTTTATTTTAACCTAGAAGTGAGCTTTAGCGGCGAAAGACGAACTAAAAAAGCAGTGGAGCTGAACCCCTGCAGCAAGAGCTGCATAAAAGAATAGAAAAGAAGGGAAAAAGAGCAGGCAAGAAGAGAGAGAAAGAGAAGAGAGAGAAGCATTTATAGTGACTGCTTTTGTTAAGCAGATGCCTAGAGATCGATTTGTCACTAAGCCAGAGAAACAGAGAGCAAACACAACAGGCAGTGGAACAGCTGAAGTGTTAAAGAGTGCCTGAATTACTGAATCAATACATGAAACACACTGTCTTTACGGGCTATTTTCATTGACTCTTTTAGTACTGTAGTTCAGGGCTGCCCGGAGAGGGGCCTGATGTGTTTGATTTGGCACAGATGTTTGATTTGATCTGTTAGAAACCACTCCATAGCAGAAACAGTGTTTTACTAAATCACAACAAATAAATTAATGATTAAAAAAACTACAACACCACTTTCGTAATCCAGCTTTGTGGCAACGATTTGTGAAAAGACCCTTTCATGTTTCAGCATTAGGGGTGGAAAAAATAATCAGTTCTTAAATGTATCGCAGTTCTCTCTTTAAAAAATTCTGAATTGATTCACAAACATCATAATGTGGTTTTATATGTAGGCTCTCTCTTTCCCCTATTGTAAAATAAACTCCATTTTTATTAAATATTTTGTTGGTGTCTGACATTTCTGATGAAAAATAAACACTATGAGCTGTACTGTATACAGTATATAATGCAAAGAACAAATAAAAATGTAATTTCTTTTTTTATTTATTTTTTAGATTTAGGTTAAAACCTATTGGGTGGTAAAACAGGCCTGTAGACTTAACAACTAAGCTAACACTCCATTTAAAGACAAGTAAAGGAAGAAATCATAATGTAGGCAGTAGAGATCATGAATCGTGAAAACTCCTACCCTGTTCGGCATTATGTTCAGCTGAGCTCAACATCAGTACCTGCACAGGTAGATGTGATGTTCAGGTGTCCACATACTTCTGGCCATGTACTGGTTTGTGATTGAGAAAGTCCAAAAAGTTATTTTGACCATGTGTAGGGTATCTGAAGACCAACATACAGATATTTGGGCACGCTTGCTGTGGCTGAAAAGTGGTGACCACAGCTAAACCTAACCCTAATCTTAACCTCAGGAGCCGAAAATAAATATTTTTTAAAAATGTTTTCAGAAAAATGGTAAAAAAATAATGAATTAATAATTAATTAATTAATAGATTTTTCCTTGTGACCAGCCAGTTGCTCCCATATCATGAAAATGTTAATGTTTTTTTTATCACTGTATGACTATTCAGTCTCCACAAAGGGCTGAATACACATCCTTGTACACGTCAGCAAACAAAGCTTTAACTCAGGTTTGAAGACTGTGTGGGTGCCTCTGTACACACATTCACACACAGATCAGAAGACTGCTAGATGAGGGTCACTACTCTGGGTTTGTGAGTGTCACAGTTGATGCCTCTCTCTTCTTCACACCTTCCCCTCCTCCACCTCTTTTCCTTTCTCCCTTTCTCTGTCACTGTTTTCCTCTTACATTCGGTTTAGAGGGCTTTATCGCTATGACGTTCTTGCTAAACCAATCTCTTTACCCCCATCTGTCCTTTCCTCTCTCTCCCTCTCTCCTTCACTCTTTCTCTTTCTGTATCTCATTGACCTCATGTCTGCCTCCACCTCTTTTTCTTCCACGTTTTCTCTCTTGGCTTAGGCCTCATCGCTTAGTTCTACTGTTCAATGACTTCATGCCTTTTTCTCTCCTTATATCCTTATCTAAATATCTCTCTCTCTTCTTATCAAAATCTCTCTCTCTCTCTCTAAGATAAGGATCTATTATCACTCTAACCCCTCCTCCATATCTATTCTGTCTCTCTCTCTGTCTCTCTCTCTCTCTCCCTCTCCCCTTATCTATTATCACTCTAACCCCACCTCCTTATCTATTATCTCTCTCTCTTTCTCTCTCTCTTTCTCCTTCCCTCTTTCCTTACTGCTATCTCTCTAACTCTTCTCTCTCCCTCTATCTCTTTTATTATGTACCATCTCTGTCTCCTAATCTCTCTATTCCTTTCTATCTCTTTCATTCTTCTTACCATTATTCTGTCTCTCCAGCATGTTCCTACTGTCTGCAGTAACAAATAAAGTTTGACAGAGTACACTAGACCTCATCTCTCTATTTGTTCCCATTTGTACCCACCCCTACACTCCTTTATTAGTACTCCTATCCATTCCCTCTCTCTCTCTCTCTCTCTCTCTCACACACACACACACACACACACACACACACACACACACTTTTAGATAAACTGGTGCAGTAACAGTCTCTCCTCTTCTGAGAAGGCTTTTTAATAGATGATTTTTAATAGATTTGATTGCTTTCACAAGAGCATTATTGAGTCAGGTCCTGATATTGGATGAGGTGTGGATCACAAACATCACTCCAACTCATCCCTGAGGAAATTGAAAGTAAATTAAGGAATTGACTTAAAATGAACTTAAGGAATTCCATGTCCTCACTGAAAACAAATCTCAATATTTTTGTGCTGGACATATGTCATTTGTGCAAAATATATTTAAGTGTAAATGTTCACCTCCCTCATTATTGCCTACCATCCTGCTGCCTTTTATTTTGTTTTCTGTTTCTTCATCATCTGAGCTGTCTTCATCCTCCGTCTTATGTATTTCTCATTATTCTAGGTCATTTTCCCATCTTCTCATTAAATGATCCCTTTCATTTTGGTCACTGGAATTTAAAACTGATTAATAGTTGAAACTGTTATTGGTCTCCTTGCTATATGCAGCCATGTGTTCTGTGTTGGACCTTAATGCTTTGAAAAACTATAGTGTCTTTTCCCATTTATCACAGTTGTTATATTAACATGTACCAGAATTCTGTTTAGAGTATTTGTGTATTTTATTTGTGTATTTGGTCACTTTGAGTCACATCTGTGGGCTCTCTCAAGGGCACCTCTGCTAACAGTGTGTGAGCAAGTATAACATGCAATTTTGTGAGAATCACCCAGCGCTAGATTGACAAAAAAAATGCACCTGGAGTACTGGTTTTCTGAGATATGTGGTGCTGGGGTGGAGGGGATCGGGGGACTGAAATGTGTGTCTGTGTGAGAGGTGAGAGATTGTTGAAGGCAGCTGAAACCCACCTGGTCTCAGTGGAAATCTGCAGTGCACTGGCTCTGAACTGACAGGATGAAATGGAAAGAAAAGAAATGGAAAGAAGAGGAGGAGTGGAAGGAGAGGAGGAGGAGGAGGAGGGGAAGAGAGGAGAGCGGAGCTATGAACGGATGGAGCGATAGAAGAGCTGACACCCGGCCTGCTGTCTGTGTGTGCGTGTGTGTAATTCCTCTGTCCTTCACACTGGTGGTAGATTGAAACCCAGTCTTAGGAGTAAATCACTCATTCACACACACACGCTCGCACATCTCATTTTGCTTTTTTTGCTTCTTTCAT